CATCACTCTCAAGAGAAAGAAGCTTGTCTTCTGCTCACCTCTCCAATTTCTCATCTTGCCACTTCTCCCTTGAACTCTGTTGTAGCCAGACTGTTCCTATCACACTAGAATGTGTTTTCCTCCTTACTTGTCTGTATCCCCTAATAGACTGCAAACCCTGTAAGAAGGGTTTTGGTCCATTGCACTCATCATCCCATCTCCAATACCTAGCATAGTCCCAGACACATAGTAGGTGCTCAATATGTATCTGTTGATGACTATGAAAGTGACTGGCATATGGTTAATACTGGTAGCTAATTACTTACTACTATAAGCCATGCAATGTTCTATGTATTCCATCACCTAATCCTCAGAACAACTCTGTGAAATACTATTATTCCTATTTTGCAGATAAGGAATTGAGATCCAGAGATGAATAATTTACCAAAATAGACAGCAATAGAAGTACTCATGTGTCTTTTACAGCAGAAAGCCAACTTAATGATAAATTCAGAAACAAGAGTAAGATAAATTTATCATCTTTACTAATTAATATTCATGTGAAAGTATCTGAGCATACCTTTTTGCAGAGTTTTGACTCTAAGAATTAAATATTTCACGTACCTCCAAACATAATTACAATCAACCTTGATGCTTTTTAAAAGTACTGGTCAGGTTATCTTGTTGAATGTCCCTCCATTTGCGTTTTTGCATTAGGTTGAGGTTATGCGTTTTTGGCAAAGATACCAGGTGCTGGGCCTTTCTCAGTGCATCCTATCATGGGGTACATGATATTGATACCTTACTGTACTGGTGATGTTACAAATTAAGGTGGACTCTGCCAAGTTTCTCCATTGTAGTTATTCTTGAAACAATGCAAATATCCTATTTTTTTTCTAAAACTTTCACCCCATTTTAGGGTCCACCAGTGAAGGCTGCCTACCAGAGTCACACTTCAAAAGTATCAAGGTCACTTTTGATTAAAGATTAGGGAAGACTGAGGCACTGTCACGGATTGGGAGGAAGACTAGAGATATGACTAATGCAATGCTGAATCCTGACGGTATCCGGAAACTGCCAAAAGGACATTACTCCAAAACGGGTGAAATTTGTATTTGTTTGGTAGTTTAAAAATACTGTATCGATGTTAATATCCTGGTTTTGATAAATGCACTACAATTACATAAAATGTTTACATTAGTAGAAGCTGGGTAGGGGGTATATGAGAACTCTTATTTCTGTAGTGATTTAAAGTCTAAAATTATTTCAAAATAAATTGTGATCTTTAAATTAAAAACAATAATGTGTCTTGGAGAAGATTCCAAGACACATTTTAAATGTGTTAATTCTAGCCAATTTCAATGTTAAAATACATAACTTAATACAATGATTTAAAAGTTGAAATGTCTTAAAAAAAAAAAAAAAAACTTGTTTCCAATTAGAGAATATAGTAAAGACAGTATTCCAAAATCACTTGAAAAAAAGATTATTTATTAAATAGTATTGGATTGTGGGATTACTATTCATTTGGGCAACAAAATAAAACTAGCTCCCTATTTGATCCTCACACTGAATTCCAGATTGAAATATACCATAAAGGTTCTAGAAGAAAGTATGAGTGAAAATTTTTATAACTTTGAGGTGAATACTTTTCTAAGCATGTTAGAAAAGACAGAAATAACAAAGAAAATGAATGATAGTTACAATTGCTTAAACATGTAACTTTCTTAAGTCAATACACTCTACATTTAAGAAAAATGACAAATTGGAAAAAGTATTTGCTACATGACCTGTTTGTTGCCAGTATAGAGCTTACAAATCAATGGACAATAGAAAACTGACAAAATCAATAGGTAATTAACAAACAATACAAACGGTCAATGTGTGATGTTAATCCTCAATTTAAAAGATGCCAATAAAAATGATAAAATATTATTTTGCACCTAGCAAATGGATAAGGAAGGATCAGGTAAAATCCAGTGTTGCAGTGCTGTGGAGTAACCTATCTTATACTTTGTTGGGTGGGATTGTACATCGGTATGACTTTGGAGCACAACTTATACTGGAATTTAAAATACACATGCACTTTGAATCTGCAATTCTACTTTTAGAAATTTGTCCTAAGGAAACAGTCACACATACGTGCAAAAATTTATACAAAGACATTTATTTCAGGGTTATTTATAATAGTTAAAAATCAGAAATAACCAACTTGGGCAGCCAGAGTCCTGATTAAATATATAACGGAATATCTATACTATGAAATATCATGCAGTCATCAAAAAATGTCATCACAGATCTGTACCAACAGAAAAGTATCCATAACCTTTCAAACAGGATAAAAGCAATTCACAAAACCGAATCATTCAGATTTTACAACTGAGTACCTGGAAGAGATGCTCTCCAAAATGTTAACAATGACATTTTGGGTGACTTTTACTTGTTTAGGGAGCACTGTTGGCAATGGTTAAAGTGCTCACTGCCATCCAAAAGGTCAGTGGTTCAAACCTACCAGCTGCTCTGCAGGAGAAAAATATGGTAGTTCGTTTCTGTGAGGATTTACAGCCTTGGAAACTATGGGCAGTTCTCTGTCCTACAGACTTGCTCTGGGTTGGAATCAGTAACAGTAGGTTTGGTTTTGGTTGGTTTTACTTTTTTCTCCTATTTTCAATTTTTACATCTAACATAATTTTTATAATAAAAATTTAAAACTATTCTTATTTTAGAAAACAAGACGTACAAAAAATGTAAATAAGTACTAATGTCTTTATTATGGCATAAACCTGCATTTATATGTTCTCTATTTATTAGTAAAGACATTACATTTTATGTACAACTGTAGAGAAGGTTCAGTATAGATAGCTCCAACTTAAAAATGGGCTATATTTTAAAAGCCCATTCAGTTGTTTGATATGTAAATTAGAAAATATTTCCTCTGTAGAAAATAGTAAAAATGGTAATGTTCCCAAGGTTATTTAAGCCAAGAAGTAGTTCAATTACGCATTTATAAATATGGTTTGAATTCTGGATCCAGGAGAAACTTCAGCTTCACTTATTCAAACAGCCATGTTTTTCTTACAATTAAGGTGCATAAAGTGAAATCCCTAGAAACCTTCCTTCTTGTTTTTGATTTGTATGATTTTTTTCTCCTTCAGGCTAATCCCTATCAAGGTTTTAGCTAGCCACTCCTACAGAATAGCTACCGGGCCCCATTCCTATCTAAATCATGAACTGTTTTGGTTGTTACTAAAGCATACTCAGTATTGGGGGGGGGCGGTCCTAATAAATTATAATCCACAGGGCACATGCGTTGAGTGACTGAACACCTTCTCCTAAATCCCTGTGGCTTGATGAGAGACCATGAGGGATGGGGTAGAAATAAAACTGACAAGTGGATCAAGGTTAAGCCAAAAGAACTTCTGAGAACACAGTGCAAGAAACATGCAGTCAAGAGTCAAGGGCAGAAATGAAGTTCAAATAGAAAAAAGATGTTGCCTCAAAGGATTAAGAGTCAAGATGGGTAGCAGAGACTCTTAATGCAAGGTGATCAAGGAAGAAGGAGTTAAATATAAAGGCTGGATTAAGCGACAGAAATAAGAATCTTGAAAGATTTTACTTGTTTTTGATTTGTTCTTGTGAAAATGAGACAGACCATGTATCTCCTGTTATGATTTGTTCTCTGAGACTCCCGGTATAGAACTTCTACGAATGAACGGAAGAATACCATGCCACTCTTTAAGCTCCTGGACCATGGAAACTGAAAGTTTCTCAGAGAAATAATATCTGGGAACCAAGCCAGAGTTACTTGGCCAGGGGTTACGTTACGAGATCCAGTTCCCACATAAGAACAACTCTTCTGTTCATATGAACTTAAAAGTAACGATATGGTTAGTTTTAAAAGGAAGCCTAAAAAACCTTTCAATGGATAAACAGTTTAATTCAAAGAAACAGATCCTATACTGTGGGTATAGGAACCAGCCTTTTGAGAAATTAAACTAGGTTGTTACACCTAAAAAATCCAGCTTGCTTACTAGGTTAACCTTAAAAACAATGTTCCACTAAGTATTCACACCATTAATAGAATGCCTTATCATGCATTTTCATTTATTCTGTTTATCTAAATAGTTATGAATTAGTTTCCTTCCTACCTGTGAAAAATACTTTCAGTGGACTTTTTGACACATTCATCTGTAATGCAATTCTGTGTCTCTTCCCTTAATTCCTTCTTGGTAAATGTTAATCTCCCAGCAGTACATTATCATTCAAGCACCAGTTATCCAGCCTCTTTACTTACAAAGAAAGTTATACCTGCTTTCTATTTAAATGTACATCTTTATGTATGTGAAGTGAGAATTCACTGGCATAGCAAAAAATCCCCTTAGATTGAACAGTTTTAAGTTGTATTGAAATACACATAAAAACTATGGCTAATCTATGTATTACCTCTCTTCCCATGTTACCATCCTCTAACTCTAAAACACAAAGATCCAGCTAAGTTTGAAATCTTGCTTCAAAACATTGCTTAGTATTAATGCTCAGAAGACATATTACAGGACCACGTGAGTAACTGTTTGGCAAATGGCCTAGGAATGCCAATTACAGAAAAAGCTTTGATTCTTCAAAGTGGGTCTTCTGAGACTGCTGCATTCCTTTAGATGTTTACTTCAGAAAAGGACACCATCAAGAGACGTTTTTGAGTATAAAGACCGCCAACTTACAAAGGATAGGCAGCAACACGCTTGACTTTATCTTGGGATCTACAGACAATCCACTGGAATATAAACGTAATGACTCCACACACCTTTTCAAGATAACCTGATACAGAAGTAGCAATAAAGTCACAAACAAAAATGATCAGATAAAATTCTGTACACGGAACATGTCTCCCTGAAGGAGATGGGAACTGGGCAAGTGGCTGAAAGGAAGCACAGTGTGCTTTTAACTATGTATGAAAAATTAACAGTTCGATTCCATGTTGCCAAATACAGTTCTTTTTTGTCACATAAATCCTCTACTTTAAATTACTGACTAAACGCTTTATTAAAACTCCGCTTCTGGCCTCTGTTTTGGAATCTGTTATTTCTGTTGCCACCTCCTGATCGCTGTCCTCTAAAGCCACCTCTGCTTCCTTCCCGCCGTCCTCTAAAGCCTCCTCGGCTTCCTTCCCGTTGTCCCCTGAAACCTCGGTTGCCTTCCCGTGGCCCCCTGGAGCCTCGATAGCCTTCCCGTGGTCCCTCCAGCTCTGGCTGCTCGGTGGCCACAGAGAGCTGCCAGCGCCGTGAATCGTGCCATTTTTCCTGTTGAGAAAAAGGGTTTGTTTTCACTTTTATTGAATTTCATTTCAAAGATTTGAGAAAAACAAGATTTTTGCCCTTTCTCCAAAGAAAAACCAGGATGATAAGCTACGTGTTTAAAGGTCACTGGTCAAAAGTAATAATGACTGATCTTCATAGCCCAAGTTAACCCTTATCCCTTATCCCCCCCACTGTGTATTCAATTTAATTGCTACAGGGTATCCACATCTGTTTTTGAGATACTAAAACAGAACATGCACAGAGTTCTCAGGCACTGCTGAATAAGATGTAGCAATTAAAAATGTCTGAAAAAGCTGGTATTGGTTCAATGACAGATACACAGACCAATGGAATAGAATTGAGAACCCAGATATAGATCCATCGACCTATAGTCAGCTGATCTTTGACAAAGGCCCCAAATCCATTAAATGTGGAAG